CAGATCTGCAGGCAACTAAATGGACATCTTGATCTACGTGATTATCAAAGGCAATAAAATTGACATCTAAGGATTTATATAATTGATCGATGACAATAAAATGGACAAAATGATCTTCATAGAAGATCTATATGGTAATAAAATTGACTTTATATTCTACCAATTAAATCTATCTAAAATTTTACCTGTCACAACGCATATACTTTTTATGGCAAATAGATAAAAATTTAGAAGATAAAGAAATAACAAATAAGTCTTACATATTTCTAACCAATTAAAAGATAAAATGCTAATTTACTATACTTAGTTCATATGTATACAGTTTAAAAATAAAGCTAACTTAATATTAGATATGTTAACCAAAATCATCAAATTTGTGTATTGTATCAAAAACTAACTGGTAATTCAAGTTCAGCAAGTAATATGATAAAAAAGCAATTCAGATTATATACAAAGCAATTGCTTAATAATGGAGATGAAAAAATAGTAATAAATTTATGAAATTTAAATAAAAGTAGACCAGAAATATATTCTGAATTCTGAAAATATGTTGAATATTATCTTAAAGAATATACTGCAGTTGATAATAAATAATATGGAATTGTTATACATTTATCACATGCTATATCAGTATAAGATTTGATTATTTAAATTACAAAAATTTGCCTATCTAATATTCTAATTCCATCTAAGCAGTAATTATATATGCAATTTAGCCCTAATATAGAAACTATAAAAGTATCAGAATATTATACTAGAAGGCTGAATATTAAATATATAGTTCAATATATTAGTTATATATTGATTATCCTGATTTTCATTATGTATCAGCATTATTTCAATATGAAAGAGAAATAGCAATCAAATATAAAGAGTTTTCAAATCTATTTTTTGGATGATAAATATTGATGTAAAGTTAAGAAGTCAAAATTTTTAGTAATTACTGTAGAATAAGATAAGTTAGTAATTGTAACTAATGAAATAATTTTTGCAGTTACAGATCACAATTTTACAAAATGTAGTTTTATCTTAAATGTCATTATATAAGCTAAAATACCAAATTGTATAGATGATTTATTTTATCATGATAATTTTTATGTAGACTTATAAATCCTATATTTGAACTGTTAAGCGCAATGAGACATGCTTCTAAACTTTATGATATAATTATTAAACCAAATAAGCTTTATTTATTTTTATATACAGATGATGTATTAGACTATAAGATGAAATTTGTTAAAATACAATTTACACTTATTTCTTTATTTTAGCATTGGATTTAGATTATTTAGTAGCAGTACAAATATCACCTAACCACTTCTGGAAGAATTCAGTAAAAAGAATCATGCATATATTAAACTTAAAATTATAATGTATTAGTCTTATGCATCAAGAGATGAATAGAAAATTAGAAAAAATTATTGCAAAATGCAATAATATGAATGACATTAGAAAAGTAATAGCAAAAACTTCTAGATTAAAAAAAGAACTAAAAAAAGCTTAAATTCTATAATTTCTTTATTAAATGATTTAATTAAATAATTATAATTAAAGGATAAAAATTTAGAAACCTATGAAGCTGCTTCAGAATTAGAAATAGTTACCCTTTAGGATTTGATTCTTTTAGTTGATTCTACATTAATAAAAGAAAATAAAAGTTAGGCAAATATTAAAAATAAAATTAAGTAATTATTATTATTAAATTTATTGATATTTTAACATAAAAAAATCTAATCCATTTTTATTTTTAATAAATATAGCCAATAGGTGGATTTTATGATCATTATTACTAATATTATTCATATTTTTTTTAATAAAAAAATGTGGTCAAGATGATTGTGATATATGTTTCCCAATCTGAAGTCTTTAGCATATATTTAATACATTATCACTTATCTGATCCAGTATCAGCAAATGATGAATATTATAAAAATTTTGATGATGTCTATAGTATAGATATTCATAAATTATCCGGTTCATCTATACAGACGTATAAAGCAAAAAAATAAGAAAGTGAAAACTTCAGAAAAAGACAAGCAAATGCTATAGACTGGAAATATACAAAAAGTAAAAAATGTGAGCATGACTATAACATGTATAGATTGTAATAAGCCAAGTTGTTTATATTCTTCTAGAAAATCATAAGTGATGAAAAAGAAATTTTAGTGTCATATTTGAATACGATATGTTATACTTGTAATATCACTTTTACTTGTTATAATAAAATGGATTCTAAAGATAATATTCCTATAGAAGAATCATTCTAAAAATAAAATATAGAAACATCAGAGGATGATAATATTTTATCTCATGTGAAATTAGAAGAAGGAGAAATTTCATATAAAGAGCTTAATTTAGTAGATGATATAAGTACATATATTAAGCGAGATGATATAAATCAAAAATTAAAAGATATTTTATCTAAAGTATTTATAAATACCACGTTAGAATATTATAATAAAATGGAAAAGGCTTATAATTTGGCTAATTTTGCATCGATATATTTTAATTGTGATTCACTTGAGTATATAATGCCTATACCTGAAAAGCAATATCCTTACTGTGAAGTATATATAATAATCTGAATATATTGATTAAGATGAGTAAAGGATTGAATTTTTCAAGTAGTAAACGAAAGGAAAAAAAATTGAAAAAAATTAGTTCATTTATAAACAATAATATTAAACAACAGTATATAGTAATTATATATAATATTTACATAATTTTTGGTATCATATATATAAATAAATTTTTTTTGTGTCAATTTTCTTATGCCTACTAGTATTTCATAACCAAAAAAAATAAAAAAAATTCCCATTTGGTAATAAGAAACTAAAAATTTTATTTGTATGACCTAACATATAAAACTTTTTTGGTTAAAATTTAAAAAAAGTGACATGATCAAAATGCTATGTAGAGTTGGTCAGCATTATATAACTTGAGTGAAATTAACTATGTATCAAATAAAGGTAACAAATAGGATTTTTTCATTCTGAAAAATTCTCTGTCTCCAGAAAATGAAAAAAGTAGGCGTAATACTGGATAACCTATTAATTTAGGTCACTTTGAGGGGTGAATAAAGATGAAAAACTTGAGAAGATTGATTCTTTCATATTAGTCCTATGACTTGATGTTGATATTGTAGTGAATTATTATTATTAAATTGTAATTTATAATCTTTTAAATTTAAAATTTCAACTGATTGATTATTGATATTCCTTTTTATTTTAAAATAAAAAAATACAAAATCAATTTTATTGAAGAACAAATACATATTAAAATAAATTATTATTTTTGTATTTAAATTCTTTTTTTAATTTAATTTTAATAAATTAATTTTGATAATACTCAATATTTCAGAAAATATACCACATACGAATTTCTTTAAAATTCGTATTATACTATAATAATGCCTTTAAAGTATCAGTTTCCTATTTTGGCAATGCTTGATCATTGAATTATATTTTATTTCAATTTCTCTTTAATCATAATAGAAAATACTAATAAAACTTTTGCTTATTATTAACTTAAATATTTGCTTTTAATTTTCTATAATTCATTTTCTTGAATTTACAGCTGAGGAATTTAAAATAGTTGAAATTGTATTTTCGTAGGTAAACTATCGATTTGATATTGACAAGTTACTAGTATTCTTTTAAATAAGTATTATACTGCTTGCAAAAAATAAAAACTTTAAAATATTTATTTTTTTTTATTAATATTTAAAATTGATAATGATTAAGTGATTTTTTTTTTAAAAAAAGTTTTTATTTATTTTAAAATTAAAAGTTAATTTATTTTAGTTTGAATATATACTTTAGCATTGTAAATTTACTAGGAATTTTATTAAAATAACAAAATTTGATTTATTATTAATTTTTTTATTTTTTAACTAAAATTAAGTCTCATTACATTTTAATCTAATAATATCAAATGTAATAAAAATCAAAAAATCACAGAATCTGATTTTTTTAACATTCTTATTAACTTTTATTTTATTTTAATTTTTTTTAAAACTTTAAGATTTAAAATGTAGATTTTGATTTATATATAAAGAAACATATTACTTTAGCATTTTAAAAATTTTAATAAATTTGTT